AAAAAAAAATGTGAAAAATGATGTAAAAATAAACTTTTTAATAAAAAAAAAGCCAGCATTTTCCTGGAAATCCTTCTCCACTTAAAATTGCATTGTCTTATTAATTTTTTGGAATTTTTGTGAATAAAGGAAATCTACCCTTTGTCTCTTAGACGTGTCCCCTATAATTTCCTCAGCTATCCATGTCCCAACTAGATTTTATTTCTTTGAATACAGAGACTAGAACTTAAACCTCTTTGTATCCCTGTTCTTAATATAGTACCACATAGCTAGTAACGGTTAGAAAAAAATGTTAAGATCACAGAAGTAAGAAGAAAAATTTGGAAGAGCATGGAAAGAATTAATAACCTAGTCCTTCCTCTTATACCAAAGCCAGTCAGGACTCTTGTAAACAGCAAAAACTAACTCAGGCAAGTTTTAAAAAAAAAAGGAAAACTACCCTCTCTTCTGTCCTAAATCTGAGAGATTTGAGTAGCACACAGAATTGATGAGAGAGTTGATAAGGCTCAAAAACAGGTGGACACCAAGGGAAACTGAACAGCCGACACCAGGGTCAAGGTCAAAGTACAAGACAGCCTGTCTCAGACCCTTCACCCACTGCAGGGAAGCCCCCTCCCTCCCAGGACCGCGGCTGACACTTCCTCCTTCAGACACTAGAGGCCGCTGCTGACTCCACATCCATCACGCCTCAGAAACGAATTAACTGCCCCTGCTTTTCTGTGACTTGCTCCAGATCCAAGTCCCAGTTAGAGCTTCCCCTTTGGCAGATCTTATGTCTTTTGTCTGCACCGTTGGAGCCAAGAAGTCTGGGAGAGAAAGTGTTGGGGCTCTGTGGCAGGTGGTGACCTGTCTCCATCAAGCTCTATGCAATAGGAATTCCCCAAATGAAGGCCGCAGGCTCCTACTGGGACCAGCCAGGAAACCCTTACACATGCACACCACCCTCTTCTTTCATGCTGGCTCAAGATCTTCTCTTTGGTGAGGCGTTTCTGGGTCACCCAGCCTAAAACACTCTTCAGGACTCACCTAACCACTACTGCTTAGGCCAATAATGATGCCAGAGAGCTCTGTATAAATACCTATGTGTCATGCCTAATTCATCTTTCAAATAGCCTTAGGCCTTACTTGTATTTAGGGGTTAAAAAACCCTGAACCCTCACAAAACTCCCAAGTTACAAGGTAGCACCCAGTTGCAAACCTAGGCCTGTCTGTTTCCACAGCCTTGGTGTTTCCCAGTAGGCTAATGTTACAGGCTGCCATTTTCTCAAGTTGGAGCTCTGTAGGGACAGGATTTGGGCCATATTCTTTATATATCCGGGCAGCATCTAGTAAGTTGATGCTCACTTAATGCTGTGGATTGGCCTGGATGCTATCAAGCAGGAACCAATTCTGGAAAGTTCACTGAGGTCCCTTTGAACCCAGGAATCCTTTTACCCTGAAAGAGATCTACTCAGGATCAGTTTGGGAAGAAAAAAGAAAAGCCTTGAGTCGAGGGCATTTCCCCCTATCCTTTAGCCTTACTATCTCCCAAAGTGTCAAAACTGTAAACAAGGGGTCCTTCTATGCATTATGAATCATCCAATGCCTATGAATACCTTTTTCAAAAGAAGGTCAATGTATGAATTCATTAGATTGCCAAATCACTTTTTTCAAGGTGATTTCGACCATTTTATACTCTCATCAACAATATGTGAGAGTTCTAGTTGCCCCACATCCTAACACTGGATATTATCACTGTTTCTATCTTTAGACGCCCTCGTGGGAGTATCTCATTGTAGCTTAATTTACACTCCCCTGGTGTCTAATGATGTGGAGCACTTCTTCATGTGCCATGACTGCTCACATAGTTTCTTTGTGGAGGACCCATTTTTATGGGGTTATTTATCTCTTCGTATGGCTGTGCGGGGATGCCTTATGTGCATATATCTGAACCCCACGACTGCCTGATAGCCTAGTGAGAAAAAAGACAGTCTGTTATATGAACTGACATTCTAGTGGGGGAGCTGAATGTCAAACAAACGCTTAAGTACTAAGCGGCAGCTCTGACAGGAGAGGTGAGGGTACCAGGAGACGCTAGGGCTAGGCGAGGTCGGCGCCAGGGCAAGGCAGGGCGAGCCCGGCAGCCCTCCGGAGCACCCGGGGGCTGGCACCGGGATCAGCAGGCGTCTGTGAGTCCTCGAGGTAATGATAACTTCCGGGGGGAGTAGTCATCCATATTGGAGCGTGTTTATGGGAAAGCTGCATCGCGGCCAGGGGCCGGTGGCTTGTTTGTTGACCAGTGCGTCACGCCAGGTCGGAGCCGGAGCCAACCGCGTCGCCCAGGTTCCCTGCCGGGGTGACGTCGTCCTGGTGCAAGCCCGAAATAGCCCGCCCCGCCCCATCTCCCGGCAGCCCCTGCAGCAACACCACCCCCACCCCTCGAGTGACAGGCCGAACCGGCCTCTTCGGGGTGTCTAGTAGTTTCCGTGCAGCTGACGCACGCTTGCGCGCGCACAGCTGCCCGACCGCGTCCTACGCAGCAACCGCGAGCCCGCAGCCGGTGCCAGACGGTTCCCCGCGGGGGGCCGGGGCGGGGCGCTGCCGGAGCCAGGGACTCCGAGCGGAGGAGGTGCGGGTGGGGGACCCCCGGCCAGGTGGGGCGACCCTGGGCCGGACTGCTGGTGTTAGAGGACCCCATAGGGCTTCGGGCCTGGAAGGCGAGAGATAGTCGGTGACACCAGCCTGCTGGGGCCGATAAGACTGCCCGAGGAGGGAGCCTAGTCACCGGCCCCAGCGGGCTTGGTTTCAGCCTGGGAGAGCCTCCTGCCGCTGTGGAAGGGGGGGGGGGGCTGGGGGAGGGAGGGTGTCCAGCCCCAGGAAGGGACTCTTGGTTCTTTCTGGCTGATTCCTTCTCTCCTGCAGCCCCAAGGAGACCCAGCACTGACGAGTTGCTATGGCATCCTACTACGAGATCCTAGACGTGCCCCGAAGTGCGTCTGCTGATGACATCAAGAAGGCGTAAGTGCCTCTGCTGCATCAGAAAGTCTTTTTCCCCCTCTCCCTACCTCCCCCCCCCCTCAGGGGCCTCTCAGAAGCAGGGCAAGGGAACCTGGTCTTTAAATTGGGGGTCTCATTCAGAGATGACACCTGCTAGGAGGCAGGAGATTCCTGGAAAGGTGAAAGAGAGTCCACAGAGTGAAGAAGTTCTGCTGGGAGCTGCCCTGGGGTCCCTTTCCAGCGGATGCTCCCGGCCCTCCCCAACCTCAGCCTCCCCAGCCTCAGCGTGCTGGCTTTCTCAGGATGCATGGCCAAGACGCTGAGGCACTGTGATGTGCACAGAGCAGTGTCCCTATTCCTCCATGGCCATGCGCACCCTCAAGCACTGCAGTGCCCTCCCGCCCCCAGCCCCAGAGAGAAGTTAGGAGCAGCCTTCCTGACTGTCATATTATCGTCTGCACTGGCTGCAGCAAAGGGACAGGAGGACTGTATTGAAGCAGCACCGCAGAGGCTGACTTCGTAACTGGGGTGGACTGGAGTCAGAGTGGTGAGAGACAGCGGTGGGTTAGTGGAAAAGTGGCTCATCCTGTTCCCTCAGGAGAAGCCTCTGACCCTCCTCTAATCACACTTCCTGCAGGTATCGGCGGAAGGCTCTACAGTGGCACCCAGACAAGAACCCCGATAATAAAGAATTTGCTGAGAGGAAGTTCAAGGAGGTGGCTGAGGCCTATGAAGTGCTGTCTGACAGTAAGGGCCAGAGGGCTAGGGCCGGGCGGGATTCACGTCACTCCCACCTCATGCCCATGGCATTCCTTTCCGAAGCCACACTGCCACCATCCTCATCTCCTCTGGGCCTTTTTCCAACCTGACATTTAAAACTTCCACAGATACTCTGGGACTTTTTTCTTTTCCACCTCAATTTAAATGAGTGCCTACTACATGCAAAGCACTCCTATTTTTCCCCTAATGCACTATGCTCAGTTCCTGTCCCCCAGGATCTGGTGGTTACAGCATGAGTCTTGTCAAGGGGGAGGATGCTGGGCAGGTAACCTGCGTGCTCGGAGCCTCTTCTATGCCAGGTGATGGTGGGTTCACAGCTGTCTTGCAACGCAGGATTTACCCACCTCATTTTACAGGCAAGGTCACAGAGGCTGCAAGAAATGAGCACTTGCTCAAGGCCACTCAGAACTGGAATATGTATTCAGTTTTGCCTTCTGTTCATTCATTTCTTCACTCACGCATTCAGCATATTCACTGATTGCTTATGGTGACAGGCCCTTGTTGGCCTCTGGGAACAAAGGAGGACAGGCAGGCATTGTCTCTTTGTGATGGCTTTATCATATCCTGGTCAGGAAAGGCTGGCTTTCACCACGTAAATACACATTCCAGATTATGTGTCGTGACACATATTCCAGAAGAAAGCAGCTGGGTGCTGTGATGGAATAATTGACAGTGATTTTTGTTAAGGTGTCCCAGAAGACTGCTCTAAAGAGGTGACATTCCGGCTCTGACTAGTAGTAAGGTAGTAACAGGTGGTGTTTATTAAACATTGCTGTGTGCCAGGTACTGTGCTAGGCAGTCAGTGTGGGTCAGTGTGAGCTGGATGCTGTTATTATACCCAGGGCCCATGTTAGGGACCAGAAGGAGCCTGTGAAGGCTGAGCTGCTGCAGAAGCGAACCCGTGTCCCTGTGCTCTCTGCTGCCCCTCAGTGTCATTCTTTGGCCAGTCTTCTGCGGGTCCTAGCCTCGAAGGGCCCAGAGGGAGGGAGAAATGACCTGGTCTCTCTTTCCAGAGCACAAGCGGGAGATCTACGACCGCTATGGCCGGGAAGGGCTGACTGGGGCAGGTGGGTGACACCATGGGGCCCAGAATTGGAAGTGGGTCAGGAGAGGGGGGAGGATTCTCGCAAGGGATGCTTTCCTCGGGCTCCTGGCCACCTCTGAGGTGGCATCCCCTGGCTCAGGGCATGTTGCACACCCTTGGCCCACTCCTCCTCCTGCCTCTCTTCCAGGAACTGGCCCATCTCGGACGGAAGCCGGTGGGGGTGGGTCCAGCTTCACCTTCAGCTTCCGCAGCCCCGAGGAGGTTTTCCAGGAGTTCTTCGGGAGTGGAGACCCTTTTGCAGAGCTCTTTGGTGAGTGGATTCAGAAAGCCTCTGACTAAGCTTGAGGGGGCTCCAGGGAGGGCCTTATCAAGTGGGAGGGCCTGTGGCGGCTGGGCAGAAAGCAGAATCCCACGGACATAGGTTTCGTGAGGGTGGATCCAGTGATAGCTGCGACAGAACCTCACACAGGCCAGAACCCACGTGGTCACAGTGCCGCTTCAGAGACTCTCCCCAGTCAGTCAGTGCCGGCAACAATAAGGCATTGTTAAACCTCCACAGTGAGCGCCAGGGAAGCCAGACCCAGAGCATCATGGGAAAGACACCACAGAACAACAGAGGCCACTTTGGATGATTAATATGTGCCGCGTGTCTTACCTCTCCTCACCCTCTAATGAATTCTGCAAGGAGGATCATTTGATCCCCGCGTACAGATGAGAAAACCGAGGCCCAGTTGGCATTAGACAGTAATCAGCAGGGCCGGGGCTGGTGGCTGTGCCTGCCCGACATCACCCCCTCTGGCTCCCTTCCCCTTTCCTTCCTTTATTCTTTGTTGTGGACGCTGAACTGCTTCACGTACAAAGTTAGGGATTAACTTAACCTGTAAATAAGCCCAAGAGAGAGAGAAGGAAAAAAAATCATCTCAGAAATGCACCCCGTGTCTAGCAGCCTCTATTTCTGGACCTTAAAGGAGCGCGCCCACATTTGGGGGGTGGGGGCTCGCCACGAGAGAACTGTTAATCCACTTACTTTTGCAGACGACATGGGTCCCTTCTCAGAACTGCAGAACTGGGCGTCTGGACACAGGCCTTTCTTCACGGTCTCTTCCTCCTTCCCGGGGCGTTCTGGTGAGTGCTGCCTTCCCTCTCTGGCAAGGTCTGAGTCCTGGAGCCTTGCCCCTCAAGGCCTGGTCCCTCAGGGCCTTGCCTTCTCAGCTCTGGACCCTGCCTCTGGCAGCTCTCCAGGGAGACCCTGCAGAGGGGCCGCATCCACGTGCAGATTAGGGTCTTCATCTAACCATCTCTCCTCTCTCCTCCTCTGTCCCAATGCCAGATTTCTCCTCCTCATCTTTCTCCTTCAGCCCTGGGGCTGGCGCTTTTCGTTCTATTTCCACGTCCACCACCTTTGTCCAAGGACGCCGCATTACTACCCGAAGGTAAGTTGTGTGTGTGTGGGGGGGGCGGGGGGTTGGTCTGGGGATGAGGGGCGGAGAGGGAGCCGCCACAACTAGGTGGCTCCTCCAGACCACAGAGCCCAGAGCCCCATCTGTCCTGCAGCGTCCAGGGCCTGGGCCATGCCTGTGCCCCTGAACGGACCCAGCTGTCTCCCACAGGATCATGGAGAACGGGCAGGAACGGGTGGAAGTGGAGGAGGACGGGCAGCTGAAGTCGGTCACGATCAACGGTGAGGAGGAGCCGCAGCCCCACCAGCTGGCAGGGAGCCCCGCCCCCAAAGCCCACTCCCCCAAGGACCCCTCCCGGTGTTCCCAAGGAGTGGGTGGGCATTGGTGGAGATGGCCATCCCCAGGGAGGGGCCCAGACAGGGACTTGGGGAGTCTCAGAGGGCTGTGGGCTCACAGTCACCGCTAAGGGGGCCTGGTGTTTGCAGAGCACTTTACTGTGCCTGAATCACTCCCGCCCTCCCCGCTGTGTTCCAGGGCAGAAGCTGGGCAGAGGACTGTGCCCTAGTTTTCATTTGAGGGGGCAGAGCCTTGGCACAGTTAAATAATCCAAACTCCCCCGGAGTCCTAGTCCCAAGGCTCTTTGATCCCAAAGCCAGGAGTGAGACTTGGGCGTAGGATGCCAGGAGCAGAACCGTGCCTGCCCTCCCCAGGACGTGGCCATTACACCCGGGCGCGACTTTGGAAGCGGATGTGTGTCCTGCTTTGCGCGGGTTCTCTTCCTTCACCAGTGGAGCGACTTGACGTCATGCCCATTTTATGGATGAGGCAGGAGGGCTGAGGGAGGCTGAGTAGCCTAACTATGAAGACACAGCATGTCCCGGCAGAGCTGAATGCCTGCTCATGCTCACGGCCTGGACCTGGGTGCCAGAGTGCACAGGCCCCTCCTCAGGAGGGCCGTAAGCTGTCTTGCAGGGTCCTTGCTGCCCACGGTAGCTCAGTAGCTCGGCAGGCAGCTGGCCCGGGCCAGAGCCTCATGGCAGCCCTGATTCCTGCAGGTGTCCCAGACGACCTGGCGCTGGGCTTGGAGCTGAGCCGTCGTGAGCAGCAGCCGTCAGTCACCTCCAGATCCGGGGGCACACAGGTCCAGCAGAGCCTGGCCACGCGGCGTTCTGACAGCGACCTCTCTGACGACGAGGACCTGCAGCTCGCCATGGCCTACAGCCTGTCAGAGATGGAGGCGGCTGGGAAGAAGCCGGCAGGTGGGCGGGGGGCACAGCAGCGACAGCAGGGCAAGCCCAAGGCCCTGTACCAAGACCCGGGTGTGGGGGGCACCCTCGAGGGCGCAGGGGCTGAGGCAGCCAGACCCAGCCCTTCCCCAGAAGAGAAGACCTCTCGCTGCCTCATCCTCTGATGCCCAGGCACAGTCTGACTCCTGGCAGGAGACAGACAGGAGCGCGGCCTGAGTTGCGGGGCCAGCCCAGTGCCTTGCTCCCTCCGGGCACACAGGCCCAGCGGCACTCCAGCAAGGACTCGGGATTTGCCGTGCTCCACCGCAGCTGATAGTGCCTGGTGACTCCAGGGTGGGGTCTCGGGCAGGGGGGGGCTTGAGCAGCAGGGACGCACTTATTCTTCCTAGGTGGGGAGTCTCTGGGGGCACTGGAGGTTTGGGGTGGGCCTGCTGTGCCCAGGTCTTTTGCCACCAGTGTTGCTGATAATGTCAAGGAAGGAGGACTTGGCCTGGGGTTCTCGGAGCCTGAGCCGAGTCAGCAGCTACAGTGGGGAGACTCCTTGTCCAGCTGCCGACACCCTCCCCTGGTTTCTGTGCGTGTGGAGCTCTGACCGTCTCTGTTGCTTTCCTGTGGTGCTGCTTGTCCTTCCTCGCACTGTTCTCAGCAATTCCCTGCAGGCTGCACCGCTTGCTTTCACTGCTGTCTGGCTAGGACTCCCTCTTCCTTCCCTGAGGAGGCCTCAGTGTGGAGAGGAAGATGCTGAGGCCCGTAGGGTCTCCCCGGGAGGCTAGCTGGGTGGGCGGGAGCCTCAGCCATCCAGATTCGGAGCCGGAGCCCACTCTTCTCCCTTCCTCTTGCTGCCTCAGCCTGCCCCAGGCCTCGGGACTAGGCAGAGGTGAGGCCTGTTAACCCTGGAGAGGTGGGCTAGGGCTAGGGTGACCCCGAGGGAGGCTTAGGTGGGGCCTGGCCGAGGATCCTCCCTCACCATGCATCAGGGCTCAGGGAGAGGCCACAGGGCGAGCCCAGTCTGCATGCATGGCTCCGGCCTCCACAGCTTGCCGCTGACCCTCTCTCCTGTCGCCCCACCCTGCTCTCTCCCCAGATGTGTTCTGAGCTGAATGTCCAGGATCCAGAGTTGCTGCACAGCTCCAACAGGACAGCGCCCTCCCCCGTGTGCTGGGAGGGGACCCTCATTCCTCTCCTTCACCCGTGCAGAGTGTAGAGCTGGGCCTGGGTGGCGGGTGGGGCGGGTCTGTAGTCTCAGCCTGTAAATTCTCCCTGGGTGTTTGGTGCTGTCCCTTGGAGACTGCAGGCTCCAGAATGCAGTGCACCCTGCCTCCCTTCTGGTAGATCATGCTTGGGGGGGAAGTGGTGCATGGTCACGGAGCTGTGCATCTTGGGACATGTAGTTCCAGCCCCGGTGGGCCTGTGGCTTGCTTGAGATGGGAGCATCTCGTCCTTTGATTTGTCTCTGGTAGGGGTGTCGATAATGTGGATGAAGGGGTTATAGTCCAAGCTTCGGCCTCCCTGACACCTGTCGCTAGTGCTGGATTCGAGAGTACAAATCAGAACCCAGCGCCACCCGGGAGAGGGTCTTCTGTGGCAGGCGGGGCAGAGCCACGACGCAGGGCACAGCAGCCTGGGAGGCTGGTGGCCTGAGCTGGCGGGAGCTGGGGCGGGCAGGCCCCACCTGGAGCGTGTGGGGCCGCGACGGACGTGTGAAGGGAGCTCGGGCTTGCTGCTGCTTGTCTGGCTTTTTTGGCCTCTGACCCTGTTGCCCGTTCTTTCTCTCTAACACCACAGATGAGCTGCCTCTCCTCCCCCCTGCCCGGGGAGCCAGAGGCCAGGGAGGGGAGTGGTGGAGCCGGGGTGTTGCCTGCCCCGGTGACATTTCAGAGACTTGTAGCCAGCTTGGCTTTGGGCTGAGCTCAGAAGAGAGGGGAACACTGGAAGTCAATAAAACTTGAGTTTTGAGAGCTCGGGGGTGTGTGCTGTGTTTCTGTGTCCTCCCCCACCGAGGACAGCCCAGGAGGCACCCCGTGGGGCCAGTGGGTGACCCCCCTCCTTTATGGCCCCAACAGCTGGAGGTGGCAGCTTCTTCCTCAGCTGACCCCACAGACCGGTGAGTCACGGACCCCTGAGGCATGTTCGTGTTCTGCTCTAACCTCGCGGGGCCCCACCCTTGGCCCCCAAGCAGCCTCTGCTCCTCTTACTTGGGGACCCACCGCCACAGGAAAACCAAAGTGACTCCGTCTTGCACTGATGCCATCTTGGGCCCTTGACCCGAAGCTGTCCTACCCTGGGAAGCTGGCCAGTCCTCCCACTGTTCCTTTCGTGTGCACACCTGTCCCTCCCCGTGATCCACACGCAACCCTGTTGGGGACCGGCGGAGCCGGTGACGTGAGAACCTGTGAAACGTCCGCCCACAGCCCAGGTTGAGATGCTCAAGGTTTGATGGCGAGGTTGCCTTTCCCGCGGGGAGGGGGGCTCGCCCCAGCTGGGCCAGGGCGCCTCTCTTCTATCTCCAGATGTCTGCAGAGAGGCCCAGCAACCAGGGGCAAGCACCTCTGCTTCGTGAGCCAAGGCAGCACGGCTCCCCACGACTCTTCCATTCCAGGTAAGAGCTCAGCTCCTATGAGAGCTCTCCTAGGAGAGCTCAGCTTCTACGAATGCTCTAGACTGCGTTTTTCTTAAAGCAAAGGAGCAGTGTCTTGAAAGGGGAATCTCAAGCCTCCAACTCAAGAGACACTGTTGGAAAGTCTGTAAAATGGCCGTTTGGCCCACTTGAGCCTTGGGATGAGCTGAGTCGAATAGGAGGCCTCTGGGTTGCCGGGGTCCTTCAGTCCCTGCTCGGGGCTGGGGGAGGGGTGCTGGGGGGACAGGCTGCCACTCACCCTAGTGGTTCTCACTCAAGGAGCGCGGGTAAAACCAAGGGGCCCTAACCCAAGCAGCTTCATGTCTGTGTCCACCAGCTTTGTCCAAGCGCCTGTTGTGAAAGGCAGTTGGTGTCTCCTGGGGCCACATGGAATGGATAGTTCTGGGAGCCTTCTGGGGGCTGGCGGATGGGAGAGAGAAGGACACAGTGCCCTCGCCCCAGCTGAAGGCCTGTCAGCCGGGCAGACTCCACCGTACGACCCGCACAGCCAGCCCGACTCCAGCAAGTTTTGCTTAAGGCTCTTTGCCTGTGGCACTTCTTTAGGCCTGTCTTCAGAGGAACATTTTTCCTGAGGCTACAAGTTCCTGAAGCCTCGAGAGCAGACTCAGTCAAGCAGGCAGGCCTGGGTGTGCACCCCTCACGAGAAACGTGACTTTGGGCGAGCACTGTGCTGTGGCCGGCTGCGGGGTGGGGCTAATAAACTGGAAGCACTGCGAACACGGAATAAGTTAATAAAGCACCTTGGAGACTGGCGGCCACATGGGAAAAGCACCAACACGCCGCTCATTGCTATTTGCCGTCACTCAGGCGGGGGGAGCCGGCCCTGCCAAGGCCAGGTGCGGAGACACCAGCTGTGGAGCTGGAAGCTGAGCAGACAGGCACTGGGGTCCAGCTGCAGCTGCACACACGACACACTAACTTTATTCACATTGATACAAAAGTAGATTTTTCTAGAAATGTTATCTTGTGCCAGAGAGAGAGAGAGAGTGGCACGGTGGAGTGAGGGTGTGGGAGGAGGCCTGGGGGCGGCAGGAAGGGCTGGGTGGAGGGTGCTCTCAGAGGCAGCGGGGCAGGCATCAGGGGCTGGAAAAGCAGGGCGAGCTGGGCATAACGGTCCCTCCACCCTGTTCTGTCCACACGGGAGAGTGGAGGGGCAGGGGATCCCCACAGACAAGGCAGGAGCATCCAGATGGCGGGAGATGGGGGCCAGGGAACTCAGGCAGGAGAAGGATCTGGCTGGAATTGGTTTTCCTCTCTCCTGGCTAGCTGCCAGCTCCCCCTGGGGCACCCTGGGCTCAGCACCCACCCTTGGGGCTGGGCGGCCTGCCCTCCAGCTTCCCGGTCCTTACAGTTCCTCCTGGAAGGCTGGGAGGGGGGTGGCAAGGTGTTCTCAGGCAGGGGGGCAGGTAGGGGTGGGGCTTTGGGTGGCACACAGATGCTCACACAGGCAGAGGGAGCCGAGGCTGGGCTGCCCGCGGGGGGGCCCCCCCAGGTCTCACTGGGGCAGGGCCTTGAGGATGGCATTCACCTCCTCTGCCACAGCTGTCAGAGCAAATTCAAACTGGTCCTGGGGAGGGGCGGTGGGAGGAGCGTCACAGGAGGCCTTTGGCAGGGGGAGTCTTCTCGGGAAGGCACAGGGGTTGGGGTAGAGGCTGCTGCTGGCTTGGGGGGGCGGTCAAGAAGTGGGTCCTAGGGGAGGGGGCAGCTAGGGTCAGGCGGGGAGGAACAGTCACCTTGGAGCGCACAAGGCCAGGCCGCTGATCCCGGACATGCTCCAGCGTGGCAGCGATGTCAATCTCCTTCACTCCTACAAGGGGCAGGGCAGGGGCAGCCAGAGGTTAGAACCCAAAAAGCCTGGGGTGCCTGGACACTGGAGGTTGGAGGACTGAGAAGGCTTGGGGATGAACCCCCTCTCCAGGAACCCCCACAAACTCGGCTGCTGGCGTGGGCTTCGGCAGCGCGGGCAGGTCCTCACCTTTTGCCATGCGGTTCAGTACCATGTCAATGAGGATGTAGGTGCCAGTTCTCCCCGCACCATCGCTGCAACAGGAGACGGTGACAGGCTCAGCTGGGGACCCAGCAGAGTGGGCACGGTGCACGGACATGCAGGTGTGGCACGGGGGGGGCTGTGGAGCCCTGGGGTGGGTGTGAGCGAGCCGGGGGTGGGGGCAGGTCACAGCCCCGGGCCCTGGGGACTGGTCTAGAGTGGCAGGAGCCTGTGACCCACCACGGGGGCAGCAGCGGTGTCCCCTGGGTCACGGGCCAAATGCAAGAGCTCAGCCCTGAGGCGGAGGCCACGGAAGGGACAGCCCGTTGGCGGTCCTTGTAGCCTCTGGCCGGGGTTCTCATCAGCAGACTTTGCGTGTAAATGGCCAGGTAGTATTTTCAATTTGGGGGCCACGGAGTCCCTGTCACACCACCTTCTTTGGCTTGTCTTTCTGCCATTTAAGAATGTGAATATCATGCTTAGCTCATGGGCCAGTCAAAAACAGACAGCTGAATGTGGGCCCTGGGCTGTAAGTGACTTCCGGGGACTGGCGGGAGGTGTCCAGGGAAGGGGCCACAGAGGGCAGGCACCTGGAACGCCCCATGCAGGGCCTCTGTCCCCTTCCAGCCCCAGCCCCAGGCTCCGGCCCAGCCCCACGCACCTGCAATGCACAATGATGGGGCAGGAGCGGCCTCTGTAGCACTTGTTCACCTTCCTGCAACAAGACATGCACGTGAGCACGGGGGCGGGGCTGAAGCTCACCCCCGGGCGCCTCTCCTCCTTTCTCTCCACGTGCCCAAGGAGGGACGGGGCCCGCAGAGAGGCATCGGGGCTGGAGGCAGAGTCGAAGATGCTGCGGGTGGCCCTGGACCTGTCACTTAGGGGCTACTTGCCCAGCTACGCACCGGGACAACTATCTCACCCCCTCTGACCCTCGGTTTTCTTACCTGCAAGATAAGGATGATAATCACGGGAACCTCTTTACAGCTCTCACCGTGATTACATGAGTTAATGTGGGCAAAGAATTATGTGCCTGGCACACAGTAGGCACTCGATGCACAGCTGCTACTGGTGATGAAGTACACATGATCTTGTAAAGTCCCCTCTGCCAGCCCAGGCAGGACAGACCTGCCAGTGACCCCCAGAGTGTCAGCCTCCACTACTTGCCCTCAATTACTTGCCCTCTCCATCCTGCCCAGGACACCTGCCCCCTGCTCAGGCTCCCTGTGCCTCCCCCGGCTGGAGGCCAGGCAGCCCTGGGAACAGAGTTCTCTGGCCAAGGGAGGACGGCCGCTTAGTTCTGTATGTCGCACGGTTGCGATTTCCTCGGATCAGTCTCCTGATCCCCCAGCACAGGGGCTCTGTGGTTGGCTTGTTATCAGACTTGGGGTCCTCCTGGACCTCAGACTCTTCTCTGCTGCCCTGACTGCAGGTCAGCAAGGGGCCAGGGGTCCTCCCTACCTCCCCGGCCCAGTGCAACCTCATCCCTTTAACCCTCCTGCTTGGGTTGGAGAGTTACCTAGAGAATTCTGATACCCTCAAACAGTGAGGACTTTCTCAGGGGTTGCTAGGCTGTTTCAGAGGAAGCGGAATCCCCAGACCTGCTGGTCTTAGGCAACTTCGGATGGTTTTATAGCTTTTGGCATGCCGGGCGCATGTCAGAGGGCTGTGTGGCACGGTTCCTACTCACTGAGTAATAATATTGAGAATAATAGTGCCTAGAATTAATTGAGCCCTGGCTGTGAGCCAGGCACTTAAACTAGATTTTAGACACTTGATCCTTTTGACTCCTGCAGCAGCTGTGAGCTACTGTGCTCACACAGGGAAGGAGACACCGGAGGTCAAGGAGCTTGCTCAGGGTCACTTTCTAGGATTAAAAAAATATGTTTCCTTACCTCTAGTAGGCCTTCATCAAACTACGTTATTAAACAGCAATTAATTTGTTCTGAGAGTCTAGTACAACTGAGTTTATGTAATTCCAGCCTAAAGCAAAGCTTACCTGTACAGCTTTAAAACAGCTCCATGCACTAGTTCCCTAAGGATGATTTAAATGTGGAAAACAGAAAACAGCCCCCGTGTGCCCAGCACTGCTTTGGAGAAGCCTGTGCCTCAGACCCCAGAGGCTCTCTGAATCTGTGCCCTGTCCCCGCCCCAACTCTGGTCCCTGCCCTCTGTCCAGTACCAAGAAGAGGGCAGGCCAGCAGGGTGGGGGTGGGGAGAGGACAGGCCAGCGGGGGGGGGGGCAGGGGTGGGGTCTGCCAGTGGTCACAGGATCCTCAGCCACCTGGCATGTGTGGGCTGGGGGTGGGGGCAGTTGGGCGAAGGCAGGGGCCAGA